ATTCTATAGGTTTTGGTAGGAAATAGAAAATCTATGTGTGCAAGCATGCTCATGCGTCTGCTTTGAACACTTTCACAAAACAGGCAAATCTTTACAAAGTTAGACTTCTTTTCTGAAGGAAGGAGCATATTTTTATGCACAACTATCTTCTTGTTTGTTACAGTTACTTTCTGGAGACTGTGGTTCAGAACAACGTCCCTGGTCTCTGTAAGATCTTCAATCTTGAAATAAAATTATATTCATGATAAGGTTTTCATTGAGCCAGAAATGTGAAACAATGCATTTTTAAAAGATGTTCACCAACAAGGACTAATTTCTATCCTAATTACTTCTCCTCCCCATTACAACCCCACCTCTTCCAAGAAAAGAATTTGGTTTGGCTCTCAATTGCCAGGAAATGCTATTAATCACAATCTCCTATTCCCTGATAATATTATTTAATTGAGGTTGTATTGAGCTATACCATTACTAAAAGCAACAAATACAAAAGTGTGCTTTCTCTTTCTCTCTCTCTTTCTTACTCTGTCTCCCTCCCCCTCTTGTACTTGTGCATGCCTTATTTCTTTCACTCTTATCCTCAAATGCAGGACTCCGTTTAAAAGGAAATTACTGGGGGAAATAACAGGGGACAGAGGGGGTAATTCAGTCCTTGGCTGACCTTACCTAGCCTATCGTTTCCACTAAGTACAGAAACACGACAATTTCTATGTGAACTATAGTTGTAAAACTACAATGTGATTAAGAATATTATTGTCGCAGTCTATCAAAGAGCCACAGTACGTGATTTTGCTCCACACTACTTTTAAGCTACAAAATCAATTGCAACCCTTCTCAGTTTTTCAAGGTGTTCTTTCTTTCTTCATTGACTATGAAGAGACATTTTAATAAATTTTAATGTTTTCCACCCAGGTAGAATGTAGAACTTAAAATATTTCTTCTAATTCTGGCTATGCTAACTTAACCTTGGAAATATGAATGGTTTCTTCAATGTATTTCTGAAAAAGTCAACATTATGATTACTGAGTTATTAAATTGCCAGGGCTTTCGCGATATTAAAATATCTCTGCCTCCGTTTCTCTCTGTCTCTCTCTCCTTGTTTCAGTTTGCTACTCAAAATAAATACTCAAAGATTATTTACTATAATTATCCAATTGAATTATATAATTTTATTTCTGAAAATAAAATGTTAGGTGAAATTTACATATATATATCTTACCTAAAATTATTTTTTGTACATCTATAAAATGAATTTTTAACATACATGTGGTAAAAATTTATTTTCTTTATATATATGTGTGTTTATGAAGAAATCTAGACAAAAATACAACATATAGGTCTTGGTAGTCTTTGGGCAGTTAGAATTCTTTGTTATCCATTTAAATTTTCTTTCTTATCCACTTAAAATGGTTTCATGTAATGAGCAGATACTGATGTTGTAACTGAAAAAATGTATTAAACTAAAATTAGTCTTTCATGGATGGAATTGAGCATGGTGAAAATAGTGGTGATAAAACAGATTGCTATGCTGAAAGTCTCATGAAACTCTTTTTCATTACATGCTAACTCATTAAACTCAGGAAAGCTGAGGAAACCCAGAAGAACTGTACTCTGATGCAGGCAGGACTGCCAGCTGTGCCATAATAGGTTATCTTTCACATCCATCAAAAATCTATTAATCATTTAATAACTGCTCCTCGATTAGGGTGGTTCTTCCAGTGGGAATCCAACTCCTTTAGTTTTCCCTTTTTCCTAATTTTGAGACATGAAACTTTATAGGAGATTTTGATTCCATGCCCAATCCTACATCTCACCTTACAGCCTCTTTGTTGGTAATGACCTTGCTTTCATCATGCTTTGCCATGCCAGTCAGCCCATTCTCATCCTAAAGTGCCCAAAGAAACATAAACTCCTAACAGGTCTTCTGTTTCTCTGCTCTCCTTTCTTCCATTCATTTCACACATGCCCACCCAATTTATCCTTTTAAAATGTTACTTTAAATATATGACTCATATGCTGAAATCTCTTTAGGGAGTCTCTCTGACATGAGAAGAAAACCCACACCCTTTAGCCTAGAATTCAAAGCTCTTGGACAGCTTTGGCTGCCCCAAGTCCCCTAATACAGCCTCTGCTAAACCAGAATAGCCCACTGAATAAATGACCTTGAACTTCAACACTATCAAGTGCTGGCTCTTCCTGTTTCTTCTGCCTGGAATCACTTACCTTGCAGTTTCTACCAGTCTGACTCCTATAAAGCCAAGTTTAGATTCCACACTTCAGATGCTCTTGGCCCACTCAACCCCTAAGATAACTCCCCCTTTGCTAAAGTCCTGTCCTACCAACTCGGTTGGAATGTACTTTATGCTACTTGACTTTTTTAGTGAACATGGATGCTTCCTCCCAGCTAAATGGTAACTGCCTTAAGACTGAGGGTTATATTTTATCTTTGGTATTTTAAAATTATCTAAAACTATGCCTCTTCAGGAATCCCTTAAGAAGTGCCACACACTAAGTATTTTTTAATTAACTGAAACTTTAACCATCATGTTTTCTAAGCATTTTGGAAAACATGCAAAAGTATAACACTCCCCATTTTTCTTTTTAGTACGTGTTTAACGATAAGTAAGTAATATTTGAGTTAACCATTATGAAAACCACAAAAGTAAGTTTACCTTTTGCTCAACTTCCTGTTTCTGAAAATGTCCTTTTCTCATTGAGTATGTTTAGCTAGAGCATTTAAAAAGTTTGTCCAAAACACACAATCATGGCTTGCCTTTAGCAGAAATAATGTGTGTTCCTGCTTCTCTTTGTAAATAATTGAATTTGCCTCTGCAGTTCAAGAAGATCACGATTTCTTTTTGTGTGTGAAACTGACTTGCTTCTATTTTCTCCTTATGTGCAGCAGACTATAAGGCAGAAGAAACCCTGTGCAATTGGGATATGGTGAGTAGGGAGGATAATAGAAGAGATTGACATGACTTCCATAGAAGAGTTATTTTTAAGTATAGAGAATGCCTGTCTATCCCCATGCTGAAAGAGCCTTTAGAAAATATTACCGGGATTGAAAGGCGGTGGGGGCAATTCCCATCACCTGGTATAGCCGTGCCAGTCGGCGGAGTGTTGCTGCCACCTGCTGCATGCAAAGAGCCATGGAGGGGCTGTCGCCTGGGTCTTGCAGCTACAGGACACCCGATGTGAAAGCATTCAGTTAATATTCTGTGGCCACACATCTGAAATTGTTATACTCTCAGAACCTGGTTGGGTCCCAAAGCAAAATTAGCTAAATCTGATGGCTTCAGGCCATAGAATTTTCTAGATATAAGAATCATGAACTAAGCCCTGAACAATACCCAGAGGACAGATTTGTCATATAGCCACTAAATGCATGGCTCAGGTAGCCCAGCCCCAATGAGAGGCAAGAATTCTGCTGAAAGTAAGTCTGTAGCACTGGAAAATAAACAACCATTTCCATGTTTCTGAGTTTACAGACTTTTTTGGAACAATTACTTCACTTTAATACAATAATAGATAGGAGAAGTCTAAATACCCCGAAGAGGGTATTGTTCTTAGAGAATTCGATAAATGTAGATTTGCATTGGTTTCTATTAGGTAAATTCCTCTTAATATGAAAAATGGAACGAGATCATAGAATCCCTTCTCTGGGCTTGTAATGTGTCCCGATTTAATAGGGATGCCAACGTGCAAATCAGGATCTTCGTAGTGCATCTCCAGGACTGTTTCTGCTGCTATGCTTCATAATTTTGATTTACCAGAATTTCCAGGGGCAATGGGAAGAGATGTAGCTACCCAGAGCAGTTATGTCTCTTCCTGCCCCTCTATCAAGGACTTTGAGTTCCCCAGCCTTCCCTGGAAAATCACTGTCAGCACCACCTGACCCAATATCCCCAGTGACCTGAAACTCATGGGAAGTTGGGAAGGGGCGATAATAAAGGTTTGGGGAACACTGGACTAGGCAAGCAGTAACTACCTCTTCTAAATTCTGCAAGAAATCATTAGCTGAGGAATACTGAATAAGTATGGCAATTACCATGGCAAGTATTTGCGGCGGTGGTATAGGGGGTGGTCTGGACATCCAGGAAGACAGTAGCTGTTATTTATTTACATGACAATCTCTCTTCTCCCATCTAAATTTAACCTCCTGAATGGCAAAAGCATTTCCTTGTGTCTTAGCATCGTCCATATTCCCCACAAGTCCTTGCATGGAGAGATTGGTGTATAGATGATAACAACCTGACCAAAATTATCTGCACCTCACCTGAAAAGAATTCCCATCTCAGGATTGCAATTGGCCTTTTCATTTGTCTTTGGTCTTGCTAGGTGGTACCTATATCCTAGTAATGAGATTAGGGTCACAGTATATTTTAATCATGCATACGGTATGTATGAAGACACACATGTTTATTTGTAGTTATTCTTTGTCCATCAAACTTATGGTAGTCTTCAGCCTAATGCTTGTTTTCTTAATGTTGGAGGGTGATGACAGCCTATTTTATCTCAGGCTGAAAAACTAATACAATTAAATCAATCAGAGAATCATAACAGGGAATAGTCATCATGTTCTTCTACGAATAACCAGACATTTTTACCAAGGGGTCACTTTCCTGAAACTTGTTTGCGGTTCTCTGTAAATAGAAGTAACTAGGCAGATGTTATAAGCCTAATAGCTCACTGAGGTGGGAATTCTCTGCCTTTGGATTCTGATTGTTACTGCCTTGCTTTGACTTAGGCATGGATAAGCTCCTCCGTGGTGAGCAAAAATGGCCTCCAGCCAACCCGGTGGGAGACCTCCCTATCTGACTTCCAACCTTCCCAGACGAAGGGTAGAAAAGTAGCCCTCACTCCTCCACTCCCAGGAAATGTGCATTTCCCTGCAAGAGGAGAGACAATAACAGTTGGTTTGATAGCTGACACTATTCCCTGTTACTTTTCAGATTTTATTAAAATTAAATGTGTTAATTCTTTGTTCTTTCACCCCAGGGCAATTCTGGAAAGAAAACATATCTTAAGATTGAACAGAAAAACTATTATGAAAGACACCAAGCTCACATTTGTTAAATGACTTTGTGCTCTTGAAAAGAAATGTATAAAAAGCACATTGCCAACTGCTCTGCGTGATATCCTTTGTTTAGATTTTAGACGCTGCTTGACTGACACAGAGATCCTGAATAAGAGACTCTTTGGATACTGAAAAGTCTTTTAAAGAAGGTGATATACAGATTTCAGAGAACAATTTCAACCTTGTTCTATTGAAGGTTATACTCAGTCCTGAACCACATTACTTTCCTGTCTACGTTTCATTTCCTGGGGGCTTGCCAAGTGATAAACAGACCCAGGCGTGTGTGGTAGATTTGGGTTTTTTTAGCACGAAGTGGGTGGCTGGGGTTTGCTTGAAAACATCAATTGACTTAGTGATCATTATGGAAATGCTGGTGTAAGGTGTTCAGAAGACAATGGAGAAAAAATGGAAATACTGTGCTGTCTATTACATCATCCAGATACATTTCGTCAAGGGTAAGACTTCCAGTTGTCCCTTCTTGTCGGATGGGCCTCTTTAGGGGCGGATGGGGCCTCTGTTCATTTAAAATGCCTTGTGACTGCTGCTGAAATTGATCACCAAAGGACAAATCATTACTACGGGTTTCAGTTACGTATTTCAGTGGCAGGTATAGGAGAGATGCTAGAATCTAGAAATGATTACTAATGCACACTAAAAATAAGAAGGGAATGGGTCGTTTGTGCCACTGCTCTGAGGCATTTTCACCCATTTCCTTTCTAGCAGGATCTCTGGAGTAATTGGGAAATTGTGTTTCTTGGAAATGAAATGCTTTCCAAATGGTAGTCAAAACAACTGCGGAAAAATTAAAAATCGATCCTTGCTTCACTTTTTTCTCTCTCAAGTACTCTTTTTCTTTTGGATATAACAAGTATTTCTCCTCCAAATACTAAGGTCTTTGGGAGTTGAATGCACGTTGAATTTTAATGAGGCATGTGTAGGTAGGAACCTGGGAGACAAAGTGGAATCCTTATGACAGTAGGAACAAGAGCCTAATGGGCCTATTTAAAAATAGAAGGAAGATTAGTTCTGTATTCCACAGTATGAGAGTATTATCGTAAGCCTGAGTGTCTGAAGAATTAACTGTGCTTTTCAGATATAGCTATGAAAATATTAAGGAGAATCTCTAAATCAAAGGAGATTTGGAATATAATGCTGTAGATAGGATCAGAGCCATATTTTCAGGCAAAGGACAGCTCACAAGAAGTTACATTAAACTGTACTAACCTCTGCCTACCAAACTTTCGCATCCACAGAAGTATGATAATTCCCATTTGTCAAGTCCTTTTTACTTTTAAGAGCCTTGTTTCTTCTCAGTTGCTTGTCGTCTTTTTATCTTTTCCTTTTGTGAGCTTCAGTGGTACTTGTCACAATAATATATATCATTTCTGTAGCAGGATTCCATGTTAATTCTAAAACTGAGGCCAACACTATTGAAGGCATGTCACAGTCTCAATGCTTACCACATTTTAAGTGTCCTGTATCACTTGGTCAGACTGCTGATGGGAAAGAGACTCTACTTATGTCTAGTATTTCAGACCATCAATTAGAGGTGATACTAAGTGGAGCCTCTACCTAAGGTTAGATGAGGTCCTTTCAATCCTTATATATTGAAAGTGAAATTTCTTACTCTAATCAACTGAATTTGGGAGGCAGTTTGGGGGTTATGTGGAAGGAAAATAAAATAAAATAAGTAATAATAAAGTTTAAAATAATAAACATAACATAGGTAATAGTTAACATTAAGTATAGGTTACTTAGAAGTTATACGTAGGCTAAGAAATTTAAGTAGCCCCTCCCAGCATTGCTAACAAGTTGCAGCTGCGAGCTTACCTCAACCTTCCAAGCTTATTGCCTGCCTCCAGACCCCCCTCTATGTTTCTGTAACTCCTGTTTTACCTCACCCCACCTCTGTCCAACTTTAAGGTTGACTGGTCAAGATAGCTAAATCGTAAGTTTGCTCAGAATTGTCACGAGTTAAATAATTTACTGCCTTTGCCTGAAACCTGTATCCTGCCTTGTTTTCCCGCCTCAAATGACATATAAACAAGCCTGCTTTCTCTGTCAGAGTCAGCAGCCATTTTGGGCATGAGTCTGCTGTGGGCCTGGATGCCCAAATTAAATAAAGTTCTTTTTGGTCTCCAAAGGTCTCTTTGTCTTCCTTGGCTGGAGTTTTACTGCGACAGTTATGAGGGTTATAGAAAGACACAAACTCTCGGTAACTGAATTCATTCTTTTACTGGAGGTGTGACTTTTTTTGTTTTGTTTTGTTTTTTGTTTTTTGAGATGGAGTCTCGCTCAGTTGCCAGGCTGGAGTGCAGTGGCATGATCTTGGCTCACTGCAACCTCCGCCTCCCAGGTTCAAGTGATTCTCCTGCCTCAGCCTCCCAAGTAGCTGGGGCTACAGGCATGCGCCACCACGCCCAGCTAATTTTTGTATTTTTAGTAGAGACGGGGTTTCGCCATGTTGGCCAGGATGGTCTGGTTCTCTTGACCTCGTGCTCTGTCCGCCTTGGCCTCCCAAAGTGCTGGGATTAGGGATGTGAGCCACTGCACCAGGCCTGGAGGTGTGACTTTGAGCATACCCTGTTTCATCTCTCTGTGCCCCAGTTTCTTCCTTGATAAAAAAGGGTTAACAACATCACTTATGGCGTGTGAGGGGGATTAAACAAGATAACATATGAAAGGCCCTTGTAAACATGTATTTTTCAAATAAATTGCTATACACATATCATTTATTTTTGCAGTTTCAGAAAGCATCACGTGTGTATTATATTCAGCTGTTGTTTTATAACCCAAAAAGCCAATTATATTAAACGTAAGAAGAATTGTCATACTAAGTTTGCTAGTATGCTTCAATTTTCAAATAGGCTTGATTTTATTCACAGGTAGTTAGAAACCTTCAATTATATTTTGGTCAGACCAACACATAGATAAATATTTAGAAGTCAGTAATTTCCTCTAGCTTCTCTACGTAAATGCCACCTCATTTATATTGTCTCACGCGTCTCTATCTGAGTCAGACACAAGCTCTACTCTACTCCTAAAGCAGTCAGGGAAAAATTTCCTCAGTTTCTCCCCTCACCTTACTGAAGTGACTAGGGTTTTTAATTAAGAGTCATTCTATGTGAATTATTTAAACTCAAAGCTCATGTTCTTCCTTTTCAGGAGTTTGGGGAAAACCAGTCAACACAGAAGAAAACATTTATGCTACACTTGGCTCTGATGTCAACCTGACCTGCCAAACACAGGCGAAAGGCTTCTTGGTGCAGATGCAATGGTCCAAGGTCACCGATAAGGCAGACCTGATTGCTCTTTATCATCCCCAATACGGCTTCCACTGTGCCTATGGGAGTCCCTGTGAGTCACTGGTGACCTTCACACAAACTCCTGAGAATGGGTCAAAATGGACTCTGCACTTAAGGAATATGTCTTCTTCCGTCAGTGGAAGGTACGAGTGTATGCTTACTCTGTATCCAGAGGGCATGCAGACTAAAATCTACAACCTTCTCATTCAGACACACGGTAAGCATAACTGGAAGACGGATGGAAGCACATGCTTTCACTCAGCTCCCTTCTCATTCAACAAATGTACCTTGTAAGAACAGCAGGGTTAGGCATGGTGCTCAGCATACAAAGGCTGAGCAGAAAGAGCCACTGTCTGATAAGGGAGACAGGAAGTGACCACAGCATTTAAGCAAATAAGTGTAACCTTGCAGCAGTGATAAGCGTCAATAATAAAGACTGTAACAGTCTTGTGAAGGAGCACATCACAGAGGCCATTGAAATTGTCCTTGAGAAATTAACACCATAGCTTAAGTCTAAAGAATGAATAGACATTAACACAATTTAGGGGGTGGGGCTGAGGCAGAGTGGAATTGTGAATAATCCCAGAGAGAGAAAAGAGCTTGCATGAAGCTCTGTGGAGTGTTTGAAGAAATGGGAAAATGCCAACGGGACAGCAGTACTGCGATTAAAGGATAAGGCAGGTAAGGACCAGATCATGTTGGACCTGGTCAGATTCCCTTTTAAAAGGTTTCTATTTTGATCTCAAAACCATGAGAAGACATAGAAGCATTTCCAACAAAAGGATGGCATGACATTTATAGGCTGATTGTATTTGTGTTGTTAAAAAAAATCATACTGACTTTCCCATGAAAATGAGGTGAAGATGGACAAGAACAAGCAGGTAGAGACAACTCAGGAGACCATCTCAGTAGCCCAGAAAAGAGAGAGTGGTAGTTCAGGTAGATACAGAAGGAAAGTGGCAAATTTTGTGCATTGGGCATAAAACAGATATGATCATAGAGTGAATATAAGATAAGGGCAGTATGAGTGAAGGAGAGAAAGAAGTTGCAGGTGACAACTGGGTATCTGGCATGCACACCTGAATGGTGGTGCTATTCACTGTGAGGGAAGATTTGTGGGTGAATTTATGAAAGTGGTTCTGGGTATACAACATTTAGTCTAGGGCAGGTAAAAGGGCAAAAGAGGCTGCTCACCATGCAGCATTCACACCAACATACTCTGGAGGCCTGCATTTAGAAGCGGGAATCCTAGATTTAAGTTCTAGCTCCTTTCCGAATAGAAATAAATTTGACTTGGGGCCTATCGTGTAAATTCTCTGAGCCTATTTGGAAAATGATTATAATAATGCTTGCTCTAAATTACCTGGCCCTAAAGTAAATGATTTTCATTTCTGCTAATGGAAAACAATGAAAGTGAAAGCCAACAAATGCAAAATGCATTGGCAGTGGACTAGTTCTGTCTCAGGGCAAAGTGACCTGGTAATATAACCAAAAAAAAAAAATAACTCGTGAAGATCATATTAAAGGGGACATAGAGCTGCCCAGAACAAGCAACAGATATGGATTTATTACCTCCTCTCCATGTCTTATAATTTACTTGCTCTAAAAATATGCTGTTGGAACAGTCCACCTATAGGCCAAGGTCCTATCAACTACTATCTTACAATGCCCAATTCCCTTGCTGTTTTCCAGAAAACACACTACACACACACTTCAGTTCAATTAAGGATGGAGTGGAGTGGGATTGAAGTAAAGAGAAATGGAAGACCTACGTAGAACACTGTTTAGCTACACATACTTTGATTCAGGTAGCCTGTATTTGAACATTGGCTCTATCACTTACTATACATTTCATCATTCCCAAGTTGTTTCAAGTTTCTTACATAACAAATATGGATAATTATAGTACTTTCTTTATAGGTATCACTAGCTTGATGATTAAATGAGATAATCTGTGTAATGCACTTAAATGTATAGTTCCTGCTAAAGGATAAGAGTTTGGCAAATGGTAGTTTTCAATTAAGAGTAGTATTAATTATATTGAGCAAATTCTGTTTCTCAGTTCTGATTACATATGAGCCCTGCTTCTTCTCTTTATATATTGACCTCATTTGGAACCCAGTAAGACATTTGCCATGTAATATTAGCACAAGTACACGTTGACCTTCGCTTCATATATAGATTTTTTGGTACATTCTGCCTGAACCAGTGAACAATACTCTTGCCTCACTGAGGACTTAGTGTTTCCTTCATTGAGACTTGGCAACATGGATTGATGTAACTTTTATAGGAAATAGAATATGTGATGCCACAAAATGAAGACAGCAATGGAGAACAGATAGTATATTATCCAGAAAGGAGAATGGTGTTGCCTTTAAAGAAAATGAATTTCTTAGAATAAAGAGAACCAAAGGAGGTAAGCTTGTAGCTACTAAAAACTGCAGATCACTGGAGAGGCAGACACCATATCTATACTTTTTGTGGTTGGAAAATTTCCAGTCTTCTGACCGTAACTTTGCTGCTGTCATCTGAATCAGATGAAAAGCAATGGCCTCAGTGTTAGAGAAATGGTTCTGGTATTGTGTTTCTGGGTACACAGGGAGTAAAATAGAAAAGAGCAAAACAGAAGGGGGAAACAAATCCTTCACCACAGAGTGACCAAAAATGTTAGCCTGGTGTGGAGCTACAGAGTAGGCAGCTGACTAAAAGGAGGCAATTGCCATCTGAGAGCTCTGTCAAGTTCACAACCAATAGCATATTTCCTTTTTACCCTTTACTCTTTCAGTCTTCTCTTGCTTCTTCTCCTCTCACTTATACAGTTTTCCTCTTAGGCCCCTGTGCAGTCTTTAAGTTTACAAGCTAGTTGGGTAAGCAAAACACACCTGAAGTGCAAACACTTATGTAGTACATAAACAAATGCAAATTGAAGTGGTGCATAAGAACCTAATTTGAAAATGCTGAGGGACTTGAGGTGTTTGGGTTGATCATCTCTTCCTGTTTCTTTTCTGTTGCCATTTGAATAATTCTCTCATGTCTGCTCACAACACAGTGTGTGTCTAAATCCTGTTCCCATGTTCCCCAAGGGCCGAGATGTGAAAGGATTCTGTTCTCTTTTCACAATATTTTGTCTCTGTGTGTGTCTCAGTGCTCTGAGGCTGTGGACAAGAGTGGAAATATAATAAGCAGTGTGGGGTTTGCCTCTTTTCCACTTTCACTTGACAGGGTTTCCTCCTAGGCTAGGAGCTTTTGAGTCACTCCAAGAAATGCAGTTCTCTGAGTCAAGCCTTGGATTGTCATAATCTAGATTTCATTCATTTGAATGCTACTGGATCCCATAATGCTTCAGACTGTAAGATTTTGGTGCATTTTAAAATTTGTAGTTATTAAGATCAGTTATAAGAGTATAACATGGCTTTAATTTACTAGTTCACAGTGAATGCCTTGGTGGGCCCTTAATGTTATTGGAAGCAGTAGTAGCAGTGAGAGTGGTTGAAGAAGTCATGGTCCTGGAAGTTGTAGTAATAGTAGCAATAAAATTTTGATCCTATAATGTTGATAAGCTTGGTCTAAAGCATGTTATTATCCTGTCTAGTTTGTATTGAGCCTGAATGCTGGCTCTTCTTAAATTCCTGTATTTAGTCTTTATCCAACAAGTGTTTTTGAGTGCTTACAGTGCTGGGCACCAGGCACAGAGTAGGCATATATGCATAACTGTGCCTTCATGAATCACAACGTTCAATAGGAAGAAGTTGACATTCATCAAATAAGCAAACAAATACCAAATTGCAACAGTGAGAAGTGCTCCAGAAGTGAGGAAGTAGACAGTGTATGAGAGAGTATAATAGGAAAATCAGAAAAGACTTTCTTTCCTTTCCCCTTTCCTTTTCTTTGTCCTTTCCTTTCCCCCTTCCTTTCATTTCCCTCTCCACTCCTCTACTCTCTCTTCCTCTCCCCTCCCCTCTCCTTTCCTTTCCTTTGGAAGTGCTGCTTCAACTGGAGTTAACCAAGTGAACACAGAGCTTTACAAAGAACAGGACATGCAAAGGCTCTATGGTGAAAGGAAGTTACAGCAACTGGGTAGGCAGGGGAGATTTTAAAAGGTATTATGGCTCGAGCAGAGGGATTACAGGTGAGACAGTTGAAGATAAGTTTAGAAAGATTGATTAATCCAATTAAGGAGTTTTGTCTTCATCCTAAGAGCTGTGGGAACTAATTGAAAGGTGGTTGTTTTGTTTGATTTTTTTGTTTTGTTTTGCATTTCAAAAATGCACCTTTGTGGCTCAAGTGTGGAGAATGAATTGAAGAAGGCAGAGGGGATAGTGTGGATCAGTTAGAAGACAATAGCAGAAAGTTACATGAGAGATGCTGGTACCATTAAGTACAATGGCAATGAACTAGAAAGAGAGGGATGTTTAGATTAGAAACTTGTGTGGAGATTCTCCCCACAGGATCAGTGGTGGATTGCCTATGTGAAGGGAGGAATAAAAAGCAGTGTCAAGGATGATGCTTTAATTTCTAATATGTGACACAGAAAAAATAGGGGAACATTGTATTAGGGAACACTGGAATATGATCAGATTATGCAGAAATTATTTTGCATTTCATTTTGTACATGTTGAGTTAGGCATGAAGTTGTGACATACAGAAGATATTAGGTAAATACCTGGATATACAATTTCTGATCTAGGAGAGAAGTTTAAGCTGAAGATACAGACTGGTGAGTCATCTGAGTGTAAGTGCTAACTAAAGTTCTGGGAGTGAAAGAAATCATCTAGGAAGAGAAAATCAAGCAAGAAAAGTCATGTGGCACTTCAGCAGAGTCCATGGTGACAGATGGAGAAAGATGAGTCTTCAGAGGGTAATGAAGAGCAATTAAAGAGGCACAAGTAAAATCAGGAGTGAATTGGGTCACAAAAACCTAGAAACATATTACGTTAAAGGAATAGCCATCAATCATAAAGTTTCTAAGAAGATAAAATAGTTATTCGATTGTATATTAAAACATGAACTTTTTTATCACCTAACAGGAACTGTTTAGCGGCATTATGGAATGGAAGTCAGGCTGGAGGGAGAAGAGGAATGAGTGGGAGGCAAGGAAATGGGGACAGACAGCACATTGATATGACTTTCAAGAAATCTGCCAGTAGTAACAGGAAGAGTAGAGGTGTTCAAATGCGGGATTCTGTTGATATTGCAGTAGAGAGGGTGGTGGCGGTT